TACCACTACCATGCATAACACATGTAAAATTTACCACGACCATATGCATAACACATGTAAAATGCATGGTTGACGTGGAAAACAAAAGGTACACAAATATACAAATGCAATGCAATGCTATGCTCAAAAAACATGCACGATAGATGTACAATGCATTTAAGAAATCAGTCATTGTATAAACAGACGAACAGATGAAGCAAAATCGTAAAAGTCTTTCGGAATTGAGCAATTTAGTTCGGCATCTCTTTATACGGACAGTCAACATTTGATATACAAATCTCTATATAGTTGCGTAATAACATTGTGTACAGTATTATATGCGTAGCAAAAACGTTCAAGGTATAAAATTCTATATATAAACGTTTTGTAATTGTATTAACCTTTGTTGGCCTATCATACTTAGTTATACTTTTCGTATATTAGCTTATTTTAGTGCGTAATATTGAAATACCCTTTAGAAATTGCATATTCTAAATCATTGCACTTTCAATGTGGACTCTATCTTGCCTAATCTTTGTTTATTTGACATAATAATATTGAGGTTGCCTAATTTCTTGTTTGTATCTACCCAAACTGGTTTGTTTATGTCTGAATATCGGTCAGTGCCAATTAGAGCATCTGATTGCGTCAGACTGCAAGAACGAGATAAGGACGAAGGTCGAATCGTGAAAAGCTTTAAGAAGTACGAGTATTTATTTTAGAAAGATTCTTTAAAATTGTATAGTACATGTTAAAAGCATTTAAAGTTTGGAATTAGTAGGTTAATGTACTATTTGTACTGTTGGTAATAAATGGAACGCAAAAAAAAAAAATCTCTTTACTAAAGAATGAATTGATTGTACGTCCTTCGGTGTGCAATGATCTGAATTTCCAGAATAGCTGGCCTGTTTTCAATTCTGACACTTGGTTTACTTTGAATTCAGGACGGGGCTATCGGGCATCTTGTACTAAAGAAATGAAACGAAATTCATATCAACGTCTTCCTTGCCCGATCTTCGATGTGACGACGACCAGTGTGCAATTAGGGAAATTTTGATAAGTGGCATCAGCGATCTATTTCTTTATTTCCAAGGAATGAAGGATCTTATGTGTTTATCAATGATGACCATAACTAGCTATTATGTGACGAAATACATAATAAAACCTTTTGCAAAAACTTTTATCCGAAGTTCATCAAATGTCGAAGTTCGTACCTTTTTCCGTCTTTCTAAATCCAAATTATAATGTCACAGTATAAAATAACAATCACCTCAGGCAACGTACACTTCCCGAATGAATGTGTGACTTCTGCGTCCACTCCGAGTCTTGATAATGAGAAGTTGCTGACGGGTCAGATCTTTTAACGATAGATCTCTGCATTACTACAGCTGCGTGTCAAAGGCAGAAGTGGTATGGGGATGAAATCTCCGTTTTCAGAATGGTGGATGCTTTTTGTCTGAATGTACCAACTGCAGAGTTTGTTTATTTCAGCAGTAATTGTTAAATAACGTACAGCGCTCGAACCCCATTGACTGGTTGAAAGTTGTTTGATCGAAAGCGGAAAGCTACCTGGGAAGAAGGAGGTCCCCCAAAAGTTATTCTTGATATTTTCTATCGTATTTCATATGGTCTACACTTGTGATAATGTGGAAAAGAATATCGCTATGCACTGAATTCGAAACTAGGTACCTAAACTAGGCCTGTGGTATAGTCCTATAAGCTGGAGACCCTGTTGTTGAGACCTGTAGTTGGTATTAAACCTGTCTAACAAAGTACAGTGGAATAATTCAAATTTATTTCATTTCTACGTGCATTATCAGAACAGAAAGTTATTCAGTTCACTAGTCTACTCGGTACAAAAATGTAAGCACTAAGAAGTTTGAATGTTCTGATAAAACGTAAATTGGCCAATCTAGTGTATTCCACATTCTTTATTTCGAGTGCTTAACACTTTATGGAAGGAAATTTAGGACCAATTGCATATCAATATTTCCAGTTGATTTCAATTATACGGATCTATGTAGCCTTACATAAATTAGCAGTATTGCATTTGCATGTACATTATATAGCATATAGATATTGACATATATAGTAATGGATTTGAATGTTCATTCTTACCTTTATCTTCCAAATTAAAATGTGCAAATTTAAAAGTATTTATTGTTGACAAAGAGGTAATAATGGTTTAGTAAACGTAGAATTTCAAATTCAATTATTCTAGAGTATGGTATCTGAAAAAAGCCATAGTTTTTGCTTTGCTTGTTTGTGTGATAGATGTGCGTAGTAACCCCTAAGCACTTACCATAGTGGCCTAATTTAAGCATAATGCAGTAATCAAATATGGATTGCTCTGAATTTTTGAAAAGGATCTATTATTACAATTTTAATTCCTGATTCGCATTTTTGGAAAAACGTAATAATTCGTATTAATGATGACTTATGCAAGAAGTATTTAAAACTTCCGATGAATTACCGTTATGACGAACGCGGAAACATAGTTTCGGTTTCGAGGTTAGTTTGAGTAAAGATTCACAGGGATTCACAAGATTCAAGACGGAGACCCCCTAGTGTTTACCTATTTCGTAAAAATCTAGGCGTAGAGTTCACCTGATATTTCATGAATCACATGCTCTATGCTAATAATCCAGCCAGGTTTCATCACGATACTATAGCAATACAAAGCTATATCTTACACGCTGGTACATGACCTCAACAGAAACTAGGACGTTCAACAACCAATCAGATTCGAATTATCTCGTTCTCGACACGCCCCCTTAGTATATATACTCGTATCGCCCTATTTATTTTTAGAGCATATTCATTGCTAGTACTGTTCACACATTAACTTGTACAATATTCTAACGGATTTCTTTGTGTTTTAATTTCTTTGTTTGGATTATACTAATTCACATCATGACCTTTACTGAATCTGGAGAAGTAGTCGGAATGGAAAAAATACAAAAGTAAGTGTTTGTATTTTATGCAATTATTTGGTAATATGATATGCAAATTCAATATATGTGCAATATTTACATATTACTTATGCAATAGTCTGGGATATGCATTTATAGGTTTATAGAATATTCTTGAAGTTTCCAGAAGGCATGTACGAACGTATTTTGCAAGATTTTCTCCTTAACTCTGTCTTCAGGTCGTATGATGAAACCATCTTTATCATTAGTGCGGAGTTTAATCCATATTGTTATGTGCCTTTTGCAATTTCCTAATTATCCCAGTAATTTGCAAATGATATTTAAATCTCAAAAACAGATCAAACTCTTCTGACAGTTATTTCACATTTAAAATTTTGAAAATCCTATCTCAATTTGTTCCATATATCGTGACGTGTAACAAACAGCCTGTCGCTATTGAAGCAGACGATATTTGTTGGCGCGTACCACATGGTTACACAAGGCAGACGATCTAAACTAGACAGGTGTTTATCGTATGGACAATGAACCTTAAAAATTCTGTCGTCTGCTAACCACTCACCGTTTTCATTTGATCTTTTTGAAAGATTAATCGTCTTTTGACTGACTTAATTTTTTTGAAAAGGTTGTCCGATTTGATAATGAGAAGGTTGAAGTCATCAGGACTTCAAAGGTCATCTAGGTAAATTTAAATACATTTGATAGCCACGCTCGTATGTTAAATATATGCACCGAAACATTCAACCGAGGGATTTAAAAATGATTTTGACAGTTGCTGACGCAAACTTGAATTTGAAAGTTCAGCTATGCAACTCGTAGCAGCTTGTGCCGATTTCGTTGCTCAGTATACAGCCACACCCTTTGATGGTGTATCTGTGCTAGTGATGATGGTCTTTGCGACCAAGTCATTGGATAACCTTGTCATCTGTTGATTTTAAGTTATGTCCTTGGATTTGTATGATTACAAAGTATTACTCAGCAAGAGTCTGCACAATGGTTAGATATTAATCATAAGCATATATTTAACCGATGATTCACACCATGGGTAACATCATCAGGTGCGTCATTCCTCTAATCTCGGATGATCCTGGCCTTGTAATTGACCACAGTGTTAATGATCAGCCTTTGAGTTCAGAAGTTTAAAAGATAGTTGGTATACCTTGCGAAAGATTCTAGAATGTTCTAAGTCGCAAACCTACTCAATCTTTCCTAATGCCATTAGCCATACCAATGCGTGGTCTTGAACATCTGAAATGTCACTGTTGACAATAACATATCAATCTTTGGTGACGAATAGAACGTCATTATTCTTCATTAGACATAATTAAAACATCTAATTAACAAAACGACCAACACCTTTAATACATAATATCCATAAGTCAATTAACATGTAACGTGATTCTATTCTTAGTTTAATAGATAGCTGCCGTAACATACAAATGCCAAAGATGTCTTGCATTCGTCATGGCATTAATTGCCTTCAAAGTTTACACTGATGCTAAATGTAGGAAATTGCAAAACCGGACTGGATCTTCAAATACTTAATGAAATAATTTTAGAAATAACACTTTTATGTTTTGCCTGTTTGTTTGTGGCACGAAATTGATATATTTCGTAATGAAACGAAGTGGCTTCCAATCTAATGTGACGTAGACATACACGACTATAAATTCTTCTATGACGTGGGCAGGAATTCCACTATAGCTGTCTACTTGATCGGATATTTATAGCTTCAAAATATTTGTCTTGACTTGTTTTTCTGCACTGTTATGTAAAGCCAATGTTGAATATATAAGATAACTATATGAAACATATTGAGATTATAAAATATCTTATACAAGCAAGATAGTTTATGTAACTAACGCCTTTGTTTTTATCTTTACAGAAGTAAAAAACCAATTGGAGAAGTACTTCAAGAATGTTTGTGGCAAGCTATCGATCACCAAAGGATAACGTCTGGTGTTTTTGAATGTGCAAAGCTGTTGCACTGGTGAGTGAACTTTGTACTTAATGCCGTCTTTGTTTTGAAATTCGCACAATATGCAGCTATTGATTGCATAGGGAACAAAAAAATATGGCATTTAATTTCTTCTATGAAATATTTGCAACGTTTCAATAATTATACTTGATGATATTGATTATAAGCTATTAATAGATTATCATATTACACTGGGAAATAGAGTTGAAACCAAAACTAGGCTTCCACCATACAAATGTTCCCCTGGGATTTCCTACGCTTTTTCTTTCAACCTACACAATGTCATATTGGAAATCATCCGTATTATAAATAGCTATATAAGAAACCTAATACAGACGTATAATTTTAATAATGGCCAAAGGGGTTTTTCGTATTCAAGTTCTATAAATAGCTAATCCAGCTGATGTTTCCAGCTAAAAATAAAACTGAAAGTAGAATTTTCTTTTCTGTTTATTTCAGCAATCCAGAAAATGTTATGATTTGTGTTTTACCAGAGGCTGAAAGTGAAAATATTTCAATTCATATTCAGCATACTTTAATTGAGGCTTTCTGTTGGGAAAATGACATTCGAATCTTGAAGGTAAGAAATATCAACATTTTGCAAAAATCGTTTTTCTTAACACAAAAATGTTTCATTCAGCACTTGTGCATATGCATTAATGCATAAACTATGCTAAGATTAAATTATTTTGCTATGCATAGTATGTGAGGTCTCTTGAAAAATGTTGTTCTTTGCTCAAATGAAGTCGCAGTAAAACACCAACTCGAAAAACACTTAATTATAAGTTGAAGGTCATTTGAAATTTGTTTACGTCACGCCAACTGTCGTCTGCTACAGAAAACTAATACACGAAAATATCGATTTGTAATGAAGTTATTCTTGAATAACATGTTTTTGTCAACTGGCCAATAATGAAAGCTTTCAAATTTATAAAAATTAAGGAGGTCAAATTAACACCCTCTAATGCGGACATCCTACAACTGGCTATCTCGAATTTGATTGGGTGGTTGACATAGCCAATTCAGAGAAAAAGGAAGTGTTTAGTACTAGAATGAGAATTGCATATCCTATTCCATGTATACATGTTTTGTATTTTTCAATTTTTCAGGTAAAAAATGCATCTAGCCTGAGTAAATGTTTGTACACTTTTCAAGATGGCGACGAGAAAAGAATCATCCCTGACGATCTAAGTTGTATGCTGGTTGAATATCCTAAAGGCAGATTAAGTGTAGAAGACGAAACTATATCAGATTTTTATGAAGAGATGATAGCAAGCGACATTTTTCCTAAACCAGTTATTGAACTTCCTGTATGAAGAGTTCATCTCATCATTTCATCTTTAAAACCAATATGGTGGGTACTGGCTTCTTGAACTCTGTTAGTAGCCTACATAATGGCATTGAAAGCACAAGAAATTTGCATGGACATTGGGGATCTTTGCCGTTCATTTAAGTTCATTGAAGCACACGTGTTCTTAGTACAAATTTTAATTGCGTCAGAAAGATTTTAGTTTGTTTACATAAAGAGCTATTATTTAACCAAAATTTTTTTTCTCTTTACAGATGGATTTCCTTAAATCCTTCATCAAATAAGATTGACGGCAAGTCAGTGATTAGATAAACAGCACAAACAACCAAAAAACATCCATAACATCGTCATTGTGGAACATTGAGAGATTGAGAGGGAGGTGGGGTCTGACTGGACCAGCTAAATGGTCGACGGTGGGAGAAAGCAGACGACACTTAAATACTCAGATGTTGAGGTTGATGCTGAAGTTCTTAATACCATATGATAGTCATGCGGATTCAGACTGGAGTGAGGGACGCCTGCTACAGTGGCGTGGACTTTGACCAAACAGAATGGAATGGGTCATTACTGGATCTGCTATTTGTTCATTCATTCATTGGAGAGGTGGAATAGACCTTCATCTTTTTAAAGACGCTAAAGCTTTTATATTGTGAAGAAAATACGACCAGAACTCAGTAATCAGTAATATTGCTGCAGTGGATTCTCAAAGTTGCAAAGGTGCAATGGATCTTTTACAAAAAGCAAAGAAAGACGGCCACTAAACCAACCGAAATAACTTTTCTTTCACAATACAGTGTGCCAAGTGGTTGTTTGGCGCCAAAAAAAGGCACCAAAGATTTCCAGAAGTGAGACGTCTTAAAGAAGTGCATCGGAAGTGCTTTGTGTATGATAGAACGTTTTTTTTTTCAGACTTAAGTTTTAGTAAACTTGAAAGCTTATTATAATTTTTCCCACATTTTATTTCATGTTGTTATTTTCCTTTATGAGTTAAAAATTATGACTTAACAATTTCCTTATACTGGGAGTACTTCGTGTGGTCCAAGTAGGAAAACTGGCACATGTTGACTTTTAATTATTTCCGTCTTGGCTAGTCTTATGTTTTTAACTACTTGTAGTTCAGTACCCTGGCATACTTATGTAATGTTTGTCACATTTTGGTCATGAGTCACTCACATGGGTTAAACAGCTGATCGAAAGAAGTGGGAATTTACGCGGAATGTCAATTTTTCCTGTTTACACTGAATTCCAAAATTTATGAAAAGTTAGCATATTTTGGCGCGAGTATTCATATTGATTCATGTAAACAACCATCCTTCCCTAGAATTATTTATCTTCGTTAGCATTATTTTATATTCATCAAACATTAGAAAAATTGTGTATTTTGTTCAATAAAATATAGAAAAATTACTTTTATTTTGTTTTAAATCAAGGGTGGGTCTTTCATCCTACGGGAATGCATTTAAAAGAAGAATCGAATGTACACTTCCCAGTTGCCCACGGACATCACAATGTCATCTTTTTATCATCTGAAGAGCACAAGTGACTAAAATATTAAGGAAAAATCCAAAAATTGAAGAACACCCCAAGGCTCTCATAGTTTTATTATGAAAAAAAATGGCAAATGCTGGAAACATGTGTCATATGACTTTGTTAAAACAGGTGTGCTTGCAGTAGATCGCACAATCGGACCATCAGAGGCGATATCATCTGATAAACAATCGTCAAAAAAGATCGTGAGAGAACATATCTGACAAACAATCGTCAAAAGATGATCATCAGAAGCAATATCATCTGACAAACAATCGTCAAATAATGATCGTCAGAGGACATATCATCTGACAAACGTTCTTCAAAAGATGATCATCAGAAGCAATATCATCTGACATCCAATCGTCAAAAAATTATCGTCAGAGGACATACTATCTGAGATCCAATCGTCAAAAAATTATCGTCAGAGGACATATCATCTGACAAACAATCGTCAAAAAATTATCGTCAGAGGACATATCATCTGATAAACAATCGTCAAAAAATTATCGTCAGAGGACATATCATCTGACATCCAATCGTCAAAAAATTATCGTCAGAGGACATATTATCTGACATCCAATCGTCAAAAAATTATCGTCAGAGGACATATCATCTGACAAACGTTCTTCAAAAGATGATCACCAGAAGCAATATCATCTGGTCATAAACCGCCGAAAGATGACCATCTATGTCGATATCATCTGACAAACGATGATCAGAGGCGACATCACCTGGTCAACGATCTACAAAAAAAAAATGATGATCAGAGGCGATATCATGTCACCAACGATCATGAAGCGATATGAAAAACAGCATGTCTCATATAACTTGAACCTATTGTGCTAAAGAATCCTAACATGCTTACTTGCAACCTCTCAGACACCTATACGGTAGAGAAAAAAAAAACATTCTTACACCCGCCCCTAATTATGACCTCATTTCAGTTCAAAATAAACGATCATATCGGGAGAGAATATATTAAATTGGAAACACCAAAAATCAAGAAGACAATGTCAAGTCCTCGCACGAAAATTTTCAATCAATTCCTTCTTAGTACAACTAAATTTTATTTTATATTAATTCCTATACATTGGCTTACTGTTGAATTTGCAAGCATTGCCTTTTGATAAAAATGTTGTACGGTATTCTGGAAAAAAAATGAATTGCGAAAGATCATGTAAGTGTCATCATCTACTGGCATTGTTATCATAATCAAATAATTAATCTAGATGTATAGAGTATAATGGCATGAAGATTACGCAGTGATTCATATATTTTACGTTCCAATCATTTGAAATTTGATTTCGAAATCTGCTCTTGACCGCATTTTTCTTGCAAATGAAACCAAGGGCGTTTACTCAGAAGGCAGTTAAAAAATTAGGACAGAGAGGAAGATGAAAAGATTCCTTGATTGGTAATCCATTTATTATTCACATATTTGATGGTAAATTCAGTTCATTATTCGCTATGTGATATTTTTTATTCGTCGTTAAGTTAATGAATGGGAAGAGACCGTGATGTATATTTCAAAATGTAGGCGTTATGGATCCATTTATACAAAGTTGAAATAATGGTTCGAAGTGATTGAAATAATTGAAAATGATGAATATATTATTGTCTATATAATTAAAATGGTGGGTAAATTACATTTATGTTCAATTTGTGTCATTAAAATAACGTTCGATTTACGTTTGTGTAGTGACTTATGAAATCAAGTTAAGGTCGTTTTTGTTAGAGGGACGGGGTTATTACTGTATAGGTATCTATCATACGAAATATGGTGTCCACTTATATCGTGTCTATAGCATATAATTAATATTTCATACACACAATCCAATGTGCAAATTGATTGTCTAGTGTAGTCTATATTTGTAAGGGTATAAATAATTATTAAGTGTGACACCAACACTTTCAAAAGTGTTGTCAGGAACAACCGATACCAAGTGAGCGGACTTAAAGGGAACGTGAAGACACTGATAGCATCAATTTGCATTATTCCCATTTTTAATCAGATGTCTGTGGTTTCTGCAACTAAGTGTTTGATGACGTTACTAGTCGAGAAGGGCATTATGTGACAAAGCATGTTTTACGATTAGTGAAGTAGTCAAACACTTAGTTTTAGTGGAATTGCAGGTATCACAGACGTTTGATTGTAAATTCCAATAGCGCAAATTGATGCTACATGTATCTCTGATACACATACAAAATTTAGAAACCTCTTTACAATCCCTTTAAAGAAAATGCTGGTGCATACTGTGTCAGACACGTGGTGGATAGGCCTACACTGACGTCAATAGAAGAAGCGCGGGAATAAGTCTCTTGATTACCTTGACACTTTCAAAAGAGCTTACGTCAGCCACGACCAAAACGTTTGGCATTGAATCAGAGAAAAGCTTACACCCTGGATCACGATCTTACATCAATGATGCCGTATTGTGTAATTAGTTTTTTTCATTATTGTATAAAGCTATATTTACACGTGCATTTCACGTGTCACGAAAAAACAAACAAACTGTTATAATAGAGCTCGTGTAATTAACATATTGATTTAGAATTGGATCCAGAATACTAATATAGATTCATGTATAACAATTGAATATCTATTTATAAACATGCGAATTGAAACAGCTGCGATGTGGATATACCGGTTCATGACATTTGAAATTCATATTGACGTGGGAGGGTAATTTAACGATTTTATAAGTTTTAGGTCATTATGATCACGTTCCTCCAATTGTAACCAATAGTCCAAAGAGTGCATTTCGGTAACAAAATCATCAAAATCATCAATTAACGTCTTCGAAATTCACATGCCGATTTGAAGCATTTGGATCACACAGTAACTCAAAAACAACAGTACACACATCTTTACTATGTCCATCTATTACGAATGACGAAGTTCGTATTATAATAGCTTGACATTGTGAAGATGCAGTAATCACTCCACGTATCATCAAAACCAGAATCTATCCGCTTTTGTATTAGAAAAACGAGGGGAATTTTGTAAAATCAACGGCATTACTCTCATTTAATGTCTGGGTTTTTTGTTAAACGTTCACTGCCCGGAGCATGTGGAGGCCCGGTTTTTTTCCCTCATACTCTAATAGTATCATCTCGACCCTACCTTGAATCAGATCCCTTGATTAGCGATCAAAGGTTTACTCACTACATCACCAGCGACATCCCCCGCTCCCTTACCTCTCCAACCGTCCCACACGAATATATGAGGTTTATTCTGATTATTGGTATTGACGTTCATTTTCACACCATCCTGACGTCAATAAACAGTAAACTGTATATAGATAATTCTAGAAATTGCGAGTGGGGTTTCAACGTTTAAAGAAATCTACCACCCCAATGTCTTAACATTAGCAATCGATATAATTTCAAATTACATAAATACAAAAATTTCAGTAAATTGAAACCTTCAAATATATAGATTTAAAAACAAACATGGCCTTCGAGAACTAACTGTGGAAAAAAAATTCCGTTATTTCTATAATGTTGACGGATGTCGAGGACAGTTAAATATGTCATTTAGAAATGGGTCGAAACACGATATGTATGATAAAAAATATCATAAGTCTTTGAACACGATCAGAAAAGAATTTGATTAAAATTGTGGTTTGATGTTGTAATTTTTTTACGCAGGTTACTCCACAAAAGACTTGACTAGGTGGCTTTTTCAAACTCAGATGATCTTTGATGGTTTATCGTCCAACCACCAAATGTTATCAATCCATCTATGTAAAAATGTAGCTTTGTTATTTTTTTTATCTTTGTCTTTTTCACACACCGATGCTATATTTCTTGGTATGCCTCGACTGCGAAAATGTATCAACAATATTGTTATATTTAACAAATTGTCTCATGTAGCATTCGTAAAGATGTATCTTCAGATATCTGTCAAATGTATCCACACAGACCACGTATCATTTATAAAACATCTGTATACCACAGACAAATAGTTGTTATTTTATGTCCAAATGGAGACTTATTATTAGTTATTATAAAGATTAATTATGAACATGACATTTTTCAAAATAATTTATCGATATCTTTCTCGAGTCCGTCTGCCGGCAGTCGGTTATCACATGTTAGGGGCAATATGAAACGAAAAGGTTAATGAGCTCGTAGTCGTACTATTTGAAGGAGAAATCATGCCGAAGTCCGTAAGCTTGCAGAAAATTGGATTTAAGCATATTTCGATGTGTATATGGTACACATGACATCTTGAAGTACCCTTATATGCGCTTTCAGAATTATTTTTTAAGTTACAATAAAAAAAAAACTTAAAATTCAAACCACAAAACGAAACTAAAAAATCCAAAATAAGAGTTAAGCAATACATTGCTAGCAAAAGAACTATTCAGGAACCAATTATCAATTTGTGATCAATAAAACTAACACTTTGTTAACAGTTATTAGGTGAACATAAGAAAATACATTTGTATGCACTCCCTGACAGTTGGCATAAGAAGCAAGATTATCCTAATTGCTGTGATATTTAAATCCATTTTTAACCAATGTCAACAAGTACTTTAGATCCAATTTCAGTTATTGTTTTAAGGATCGTGAGAAAACTCAATACAAGATTTGATGTCCATTATTTGGTTCTGGATACAATGAAACCTTGACTATCTTAAGAAAATAAGACCCATTTCGGTATTCGGATGAAAACCATAAAAACTTTTTTGCATTCATTACTTATTCATGTTGATTACAAATTACGGGAACTAAACCTGAAAGCTAAAAAGTAAGATGAACAGAAATTTTGTAAAAAGAACGCATTCGAGGTTTCTTATTTGTACGGAATGTATGGTCGAAATCTGATCAGAAGTATAATTTATATCGTCTTCACAATCAATAATTGTGAA